AAAAAAAAAAAAATGATGGGCAGGGCCCAGGGATATAGCTCAGCAGCACAAGTGACGAGTTTGATCCTCAATACTGAAACTCACCCTCCCAAACCAAACCAAAAAACCCAATGGGCAGGAGAAGAAAGAGAACAGATCTAGATTCTAGATTCTGAAGGCGAGGGACGAGCTGGAGTTGGAGTAAAGGGAAGCAGTCAGGGAGGAGTCGGTGAGGCAGAAGAGACTTTGCTGAAATCCAGACAGTGAGAATTTGGAGTGATGAACTGACAAAAAGAAGCAAAGAAAATTCATCCTCCTCTAGGTCACAATTCTAGGCCACGTTTTCCTATGCACGGTGAACATTTTCTTGTGCATTCACCTGGACTGTGTCTCTGAGTAAACAAAAGTCCTATCAGCACTTCTTCTGTCTGAGTTATAGGCTTGATACATTATTTTGTATCATGCTTCTCTTTCCTTTTTAAAGGAGCCAGGGAGATTTTTAAAGTTGTAAAATTTTTTTGGTACTGGGGATTGAACCCAGGACACTGCACATGCTAAGCAAGTGCTCTACCACTGAACTACTTCCCAGTCCTTTTCTATTTTTGATTTTGAGACATCATCTTGCTAGGCTGTCCAGGCTGGGCTTTAACTTGTGGTCCTTCAGGCACAGCTTTGAGTAGCTGCAGTTCAGGAACACATCACTATACCTAGCTCCTTGCTTTCCTTTTTGTTACATGTATTCTGTGTTTTGTTGTTGTTGTTTTTTTTTTTCTTCCTTGTGGCTCTAGGAAACAAACCCAGGGCCTCACATATGCCACAGAAATGCTCTGCCACTGGGCCATATCCCCAGCCCTATTCTACATTTCTAATTAGCACCCCTCCCCAAATATATCTCTGGAGCAAGGCAAACAAAGAAATAATGGAGACAAGGTTCACACTACAGAACTCCATTTAACCCATCCAAAACCAAAGCTAAGTGCCCCTAGGTCGCAGGAGAACCGTGGCAGTAGAGGAAAGGAACGAAAAGGCAATCTCCCCCCACCCTCCTGACCACTCACCGCTAGCCCCAGCCCACCCCTAGGTGACACAGAACTCAAACCCTGGAGCGCCCATGGGCAGAACCCTCTGTCACAGCCCTCACACAGCCACGGCTATACCTCGGAGTTGGCGGGCACGGCAAACTGGGTGGGCAGGCTGATGTCAGGCATCCTGCAATCTGTGGAGAAGGTCACTGAGTAGGGCAGGGGGTTCTCCAGCTTGATGGCGGCCAACGTGCTCTGCCGGACTGGGCTTGTCATCTTGATGGTTTTGATGGTACCTGAAGGGGTAACTCTGAAACTTACTGTGTAGAACAGGAATTCACTGGTCACCTCGTTTCGGAAGATCACCTGTGTGCACGAGGGGAGGGGAAGGTCAGGGCAGAGGAGGGGTTAGCGCAGGGCTCTCTGCACTCGCGAAGGGCTCCTGCTCCCTCTTGGCCTTGCCTGGGCACAGGAAGAGCAGGTACTAGGCTGGTACACCCTGGCAGCCCATGTTTCTCTTTAGGCTTTCTGCTCTGGCTTGTCCCAGGTGAAAGACGATTAAGTAGGCTGCATTTACTGTAGAAACAGCTAAAACAGATGAGTCTGGTGTCTACACCTCCCCAGTGGGCACAACTGGCTGGCCCTGGAGAATAGGCGAGAGTTTGAGAGGTTCCAGTTGTAACCGACTTGGATTCTACTCCTGTTACTGCTGGGACTGTTGACCAAAGTGACAAAGCCAGCCTCTAACAGTCGGCAACTCATCACCGTGTGGCAGATACTGAAGTGTGAATCTATTTCATTCATGCAATTTGTAGGCACTGCTATTGTTTCTCTGATCTTTCCTTTTTCTTTTTTGTATTTTAGGACAGGGTGTACAGGGTCTCACTGCGGAGACTGGACTCATAGGGATTCTCCTGTTTACAGCCTCCCAAGTGCTGGGATTACTGGTGCGTGCCACCACACCCAGTCTCAATTGCCATCTCAGCATGCCCCGGGGGTGGCGCCAGCACAACAGGCCGGGGGGGATCGAACTCCCGAACCCTGCATCTGCCTAAACAGGTGCTTTAATCTGCTGAGCTATTTATTTGACTGGCCCTCTCACCTTTCTTTACAGATGAAAAAGACTAAAGCTTAGCACATTTAAGCATCTGTGCCAAGGTCAAATGTAAAGAAGAGGCATTACTAGGACTCGAGTCCAGGTTGGCAGAGCTCCCTCTGGTAGCTGTGCCACCTGTCCCCTCTGCTCTGCAACTGGCTTGTTGGTATACTGCTCACCTTTTAAAGATCTCTCTCTTGCTGCATAAAGATGCTAACCTTGTGTACTGCTGGCCATTCACATAGTTATTTTTATGAAGTAGAGTCTGCTCAAGTCTTGCTTATCTTATTAAGTAGTAATATTTTTAGAGTGAGGCTTTTACACATAGTCTGCTTTTTTCACTTTAAAAGTCTTTCTCTGGATGATTCTATCACCCATGGAAGCTTCAAATGCTATCTATAAGAGAATAACTTGCAGGTGTTATCTTTAACCCTGTCCCTTCCCATGAGCTACGGATCCACAGTTCTTGATCCACCAGACTAGATGTTCCAGGACCAAAAAAAAAAAGGTCATTTTTGACCACTGCTCTGTTACCAGCCCATAGCACAGCATACAGCATCTGTGCTCCAGAGACACTTACTGAACAAAGGAATGACTTAGGCAAAATAGCTCATGTGTGAAAGACCACCCGTGACTTGGCTTAGTGCCGTGGGGGACATCTGTTTTCCCCTAACACAAAGAATGTCAGCCTCAGGGTCATACCTCCAGGGTTTCAAGGTGGTGCCTCTGACGTGTCCATACCTTGGCAGCATAGAGTCCTTCCTTGTGGGAGAAGAAGTTCAGTTTGTAGTCCTTTGTGGAGCCAGAGAGCACATCAACATAATCGAGGCCCTTCATAGTGATGCTTAGGTCTTGCTTCTCTGGTTTCACCATCTCCACAATGACCCGGAATCTGGGGCAGGGCCAGAGCACATAAGGAAAGGAGGGAGAAAATGAGACTTTGTCCACAGGAGGGAAGGCCTGCTGCTGAAGCACAATAACTCTAACTGCCATTTACTGACTACTTATTATGTCCCAGGACCTGAGTAGGTGTGACGTATGACAGGCATTTGGGTTTCATAATGTCTATAGGAGATACATGTCACTAACATCTCCTCTTCACTAGTGAGGAAACAGAGGCCAGAAGAAGGAAGATAACAGGCTCAGGTAACATGATTAGTTAATGGGAAAAGGGGCACCCAGCCATCTGTCTAGGCTGCCATGCTAAGCAGGTGGCCCTCGGGAACTTATGGCTCTTCTCTGGGTCTTTGGTTCTTCCCTGAAAAAGCTGGGCGTGGGAGGCCTTTGAGCTCCTCTCTAATCCTTGCCCTCCACTCTATTCCTATTACAAGTACTAGATCCAAGGGACTTCCTTCTCTGGCTGGGGGCTTAATTAATAAGACAGACCACCCAATAATGATAAAGACAAGTATCAACATTATAATAATAGCTAACATTTATTGATCATTTATTTTGTGCCAGGCATTGTTCTAGGACATGAGTAAGAAATGGCACAGAGCAGGAGACATGCTCCAGGTGTTTAAGTGCAGGAAGTGTCTGGACGTATCAGAGATCACTGCCTTTGACTTTTTGAGCACCAAGTATGCTTTGTAGGCCCCAAGGAGGAGCAGGGCCAAGCTCGATGGTGAAAATGGTCCCTCTGTCTCTCTAGCCCAACTGACCCCTCACCCCACTGCCTCACCTCTGGGGCTTGTTCAACCAGTTGGTGATTGGCAGAAGCTCCGTGTAGGGTGTCTTACATGGTACTTCACGGTAGATATTGGCTACAGCTTTGGGGAGCTCAGCAATCCCATGCAGGGCATAAAGCCAGCCTGTGCCATCTGGGAGCGGGAAGAAGAGGGTGCCCTGAGGAAAAGAAGACCTTCCATCAGAGTAACACAGAGGTCAGTTACTGGGTGCCCATCAGCATGGTAGGGACATAGGATTAGTGGAGGCTTTGTGAATAAACCTAACATTTGTGGAAATCAAGTTGGTAATAGATTTAAAGAACCATAAAAATGTTCTTATGTGAACCAGGAATCCAATCAAGAGGGAAATTACTGAAGAAAAACGTCTCCAAATGAAAAAGTTACACATACACGCACAGGCCCAGAGAGACAGACAGACAGACAGACGGACAGACAGACAGACAGACACGAACTACTTACAATGTGGGTGAAACCTGGAGGCAAACATTCAACATGAGGGGAATGCTAAATTATGGAACTCTTACTCAAAGCAATATTAGGTAGTCATTAAAATGATTATCTCAAACTACACAGTTAAATAGAAAAATAATAATGACAGAATACAAAGTGAAAACAAACCTAACACAAGACTGAGTAAGTTACAATGACTATTACGGCTACATCTGAGTAAGGATTGGTAGTGAAGGCAGAAAGAGATTCATTTTTTTCAAGATGGAAGACTGGTTAGCTTCATTTTTGCTTTTTATTACAGTCAGCACGATGCATTCATGCTATTAAGGTAAATATTACTTGCTTGGTGCTTGGTCTAGAATTTCATTTTGGAATTGAGCCCCTAGCTGTAAGAGAATCTCCTACATAGGAAAATGAGGACAAAAAGGGAAGCCAAAGTTTGACAGTCTGATGATTCCCCTATCGTCCACCAAGATCTGGGTACTCCGCCCCCTGTTATAATGTTCTGCAAGCTCCCAAACTATCTTCTGAACTCTCTCCCTCCTTCCAGTATGCCAGGAATCCCACAGAGGGGCCTCAGCCTACCTGGTGCTTGCGGTTATCCACGTTCATGGTGCGGGGTCTGTAGGTGATCTCATAAGGCTTATTTTGCTGATGGGCCTCCAGCGTGATAAACTCGGGCCCTTCCCAGTGCTCTCCCTCAAAGATGGGGTGTAGATTCCAGGTCTGGTTGGTGCGGTTTGACAACAGGATGGTCTGTGTGTGCTTGGAGCGCACCTGGCAGTTGAAATTCACCACCTGGAAGAAGACACGTACCTCAGCTTTTGGGCTCTTGCCCTGGGCTGTCTCCAAGGCCCAAGGGAGAGAAAGGTGTGTAGGGGTAGGCTGATTTTAACAGCACTCTGAATCCTGAGTTTCAATTGATAATTTTTTTGTCTTTCATTTTTTCAACAAATATTGATCGAGTGCTTTCCATGTGCCAGGCACTGTTCTCGGTGGTAGAGTTGAAGCAGTCTACAAAAGAATGAAAGTCCCTGCTTTCAAAGAGCTTATGTCCTAGTGGCAAGAGACAGACAGGAAACAAACAAGGAAGTATAATGCAGAATATGTAGCCTAGGAATAAATACTATGGAGCAAAACAAAGCAGGGCAAAGGCTATAAATAATGCCAGATTGGGGGTAGGTGTGAAGTTTTAGGGTGATCATGGAAAATCTCATACATGGAAACAGATATTTTATTAAAGACCAAGAAGAACCAATCAGGAGAGACCCAAGAACCAATCAGGAGAGACCCAAGGGACAAGAACCTCCTCCTAAGCACAGGAAACTTCCACTGCAAAGATGTTCAATTTTGATCAATGACCAGGAGGCTATTCTGGCCAACACTAAGCAGCAAGAGATAATTAACAGGGAGAACTTTTGTTTTCCTTTTATTGCCATAGGAAGACTTTGGGGAGATTTTCATAGAGAGGGTTTTAACAGAATCACAGTGGATACTGACAGGTGTCAGAGGATGGGCCAATTAGAAGACACTTCTAGTAGACCAGGCAGGAGATGATGGTGGCTTAGGTGACACTTGCGATGGTGGGAAGTGGATATATACCACTTGTACTTTGAAAAGCCAATAGGACTTTATGATATGTGGAATAGTGAGTCTAAGTAGAACAAGATTCAAGAATAACACCTAAGTTGTTAGCCTGAGCTGCCAAAAAGACGGGGATGCCAGGTATGGGGTGGGCTGGATGGTGGGATGAGCAGGGACTCAGTTCTGTGCAAGTACTTTTGGGAAGCCTATTAACCAAACAGGAAGTGGGACTTACAAAGATGGAGTTGAAGGGAAAAGTCCAAATAGGAGATACACATTTGGGTTGTCAGCACAGTGGTGGTTTTTTTTAGGCTGAGAAGCTGGATGTGATCAACAAGGAGGGAGTATTTTAGAAACAAACAAACAAACAAACAAACGACTGATTCTTGACAGATGATTGCAGTGTGAAGAAGGATCATATGGGAGCAGCCGGTGAGCAAGGAGGATGCCAGGAGTGAGTGGTGGTCTGGGGGCAAGTGAAGGAATATTTGGAGAAGGAGGACTGGTTCACAGCACCACACTCTTATCTAATATTTGAGTAGGATGAAGAGTGAGACCCAGACATTGGATTTATTAACCTGAACAGTGTGGTATTGGTATAAAGTTAGCAGCATAGATCAGTGAACAAGAATACAGTTCAACAATAGGCCTGAACTTATGTGACCAATTGATTTTGTCGAAGGTGCAAAGACAATTCAATGGAGAAAGGGCAGACTTATCAATAAATGGTGCTGGGTTTAATGGATATTTTTATACAAAAAGTTTGGAGGGATATCTTGGACTATATACAAACGTTATCTCCAAGCCCATTGAAGGCCAAAATATGAAACTTCAAGAAGAGATTAGTGGCTAAATTGAAAATAGAAGATTGGAACAGACACTGCAACAAACAAGACAGGATGGCAAATCAGTGCCTGAGAAGATGTTCCCTGTCATTATTTATTAGGGAAATGCAAATGAAAAGCCTCACTGCGACACTAATAAACACCTAGTAGCACAGCCTAAATTTTAAAAATTGGCCTCGTAAAGTGTCAATAAGGATGTGGAGCAAGTGGGAATGTCAGACCTTGCTGGTGGGAATGTAAAAGAGAGCCACTTTGGGAAACGGTTTGCCAGCTTCTGCTATAGGTAGACAGAGATGTACCCCGCAAGGCACAGGTAGGTATGTGCCCAAGAGAAACAAAAGCCTGTGTTCCTGCTGAGTCTGGCTCATACCCGTTCGCAGCATGCTGCCTGATTCCACCCATTTAATAGTCTTAAAATAACAAAAGAACAGGGAGGGAGATTAGGTGTCATTTTCATCATCAGCAATACGGTCAGGAAACAGCTAACAGCACAGTTAGGTTTCCAGGAACTTGGCCTAGAGAGGGTTCATTTGAGCCATTTTTTTTTTTTTAACCATAGAAAAAGGTGCTAATCCTTTACTCCCAGGCCTTACAGCAGCAGTTCATCTGGAGGACCTCGGTGTGAGCTTCCTTGAGAATGCAAAGCCAGAGCTGAGAGCCAAAGAATGAACAGGAACCAACTAAATGAGAGGGGAAAAGAACGTCTTTCATCCAGACTATGTGTACCACAGTGAGGGTGGCGTCTTCAAAGTCTCTGTGGCCAGAGGACGCAGGTCTAAGTGACTGATGGAGACTCCGAGGTCTAGGCTCCCTGGCTGGCACAGCCCAGCCTGTGGTCCATCCCCCAGCAGCACCACTCACCTCTTTTATGGCAGGTGGTCCCACGCAGACACCAGATAGGGTGAGGCTCAGAGGACTGCCCCCCTGGATGAAGCAGGGAATGTTTTTACAGAAGGTCTCCTTCCCCACCTCCGTGGGATGATAGGTCACTTCCAAAGAAACCTCCATGCCAGCGGTGATATAGCCTTCATTTGGGCTGATGGAGAAATGAGGCTCAAACTTTTGGACATCCCATTTGAATCTTTCAGACAAAAGAAGACAAGGAAGACAGTTTACTAATACTCTGGAGCTGCTCATAGCAACAGACTTTGCTTGGGCTTTTAGCTGCTCTGTTCCCTTCCCTGGCCCGCTCCCGAGAAGTTAAGAAGAGAAAAGGCTGCCAGACAAAGCAGAGGCAGAAGACGCATGGGCCAAGGTTGCTTCCTGGTAAGGTGATCTGGCTCCTTCTCAGAGCTAAGCCAATGGTGGGAAGTGGTCGCATCTTATCTTTGTCCCCACAGGACACATCAGGGACCATCTATGCATGATTATGTGTATATGCGTCCCCAAGCTCCCCAGGCTAACCAGTGGCTAGGCTAGGACTGGAGTCCACTTGAGTCTGTGGCCTTAACCATTTCCTGCACTGCTTTCCAATTCATACCTAGCAGGGTAGTGACTCTTGCGTGAGAGCTGCACCTGTTCTTGGTGGCACTAGGACCTGATGGCCCTGTGTGGGCATCCCTCTGGAGCTGAGCACAAGTACCCAGGCAGCAGACAGGCATGGATGGCATGGGGCAGGGCTTCCAGTGGTCAGGGCCACCATGCCACACCTCACTGGGGCCAGTTACACCGAGCGTGCATGATGATTGTCCCCTGGGGTGAGCAGTACGGAGCCTGCACTGCTCTGTTGATGTCCATAAGAGGCAAGAGGGAAGAGCCTGGAAAGAAAAGCTGCTGGGGACATACTGCACCTGTCTTCTGCTCCTGGCTGTGCTGGCCTGGGAAAGTCACCTAACCTCCTCGGGCCTCACCGCATCTGTGCAGTGAGGATCTATGGTACCCTCCTTCAAGGGTCTTGGGATAAGAGGTTACAGGTAGAATCCACAGCACTGCCCCTGCACACAGTGAGTTTCTGCTGTGTGCATGATTTTGTAAAAGTTACCAAATCTCTTTGTGCCTCAGTTTCCTTATCTGTAACATAGATCTGTAGAGTCTGGTCTCCCAGGGTGTTTGTTGGGATGGAATGGGATGAGCTGTGTAAAGGGCCTGTAACAGGACCTGAGCAAATGTTCCTCATCCTGTTAATTTTGGTAATCATGGTAGTGGTGGTCACTCTGGTGAACCACTGCTGTCACCCCCTAAGGCAAGAGTGTGTGTGTACAGGGGCCAAGATGGAAATGAAAAGTGGCTGTACTTGCAAAATGAAGTCTGGCAGCCCAAGACCAGAGATGCACGTGGCAGCCTGGGGTGACACACGGCTTCCTACCTTGCACCCATGTCACCTGTGTTCAACATGAGAATGCGGCGTGTAGCTTGTGCGTGATGCACGACTGGCCCAAAGGGAAGGTGATCCTGGTCCAGGGAGATCTCAAGGGCCTGGCAGCAGCCGCTGAGGAGGAAGAGGGGGCGCAGGAGGCCCATGCTTTCCATGAACACCTCCTCAGAAAAGGTAGGGATGCGCTTCTTCGGGGCAAAGGTGACTTCCAGCTTACAGACCTCGCTGGGCTTCAGGGTGATGTTTTGGAAGGGCGCCAAGGTGATGACCTGGGTAAACAATAATGAAACTCAGCATCTGACAGTGGAGGGTCCTGAGGCAGGGAGTCCTCTGGGTTTCCTGAGGTCTTTCTACTGGTGCTGCCAGCCCAGGGGACAAATGTCACATCTGCTCTTACCATCTGTGTAATGTTTGGTGAGTTACTTAAAACTTCTTAGACTGGCTCAATGATAAAGGTTAAGATCATGTATGTTAAGTGCGTGGCATCTAGTGGGCACCCAGTGAACATCAGTTCTCTTCGTTTCCCTTCCCAAAGCATCCTGGGCACTTCCTTCTTTCTCCTTCTCCCTTGTAGAGGAAATAGGAAACACATAGTGATCAATTGTTCCTCAAGGATACTCTGTGGGATGCTTAAGAAGCAGATTCCATACTCCTGTCCCAGGCTGAGTGACTCAGTGATGCTGGGTTTGCTTGGAATCCCCATTTTCAAAAGTCTCTGAGGTGACTCATGATTCTGGAGTTTGACAGCCATTGCACACATGTGGAAGTTTTTCTCTTTGCCCTTAGTCCTGGTAAAAAGTAAATCCAAAGAAAGCCAACTCCTTTTTGACCCTCAAATTCCTCTTTGGTGCACAGTGTTGAGCAGCACACCTGCAAGTGGGCTGTGGCCCAGGGAGTAAGGTGAGGGACAGAGGATCTGCAATAGCAAAGCTGTGCCAGACATTTCTAAAACATGAGGATGTGGCCCCAGGGGGCGGGGCCACACAGGACACTCCTCCAGCTTTGGCCTGGCCAACTAAGAGGCAGAGTTGGTATGGTCAAACTAGGCCCTGACCCACTGAGAACAAGGACTGTAATTTGGATTAGTGAGGATGGTGTAATGGGCAATGTAGGGTCCCAGAATAAGACTGTTGGAGGCAGCTAAATTAGATAGACATATTATAGGAAGTCAGACAGGGCCAGGCCTTCAAGGAGACAAGATGGAAGACAAGGTGACTTTGCAACTTTGGAAGAGATAGACCCTCTCTGCTGTAGGACAGTGAGCCAGACCTCAAGACAAAAGAGTAAACAAGGGGCCTGAGAGATGGCTCAGTAGAATAAGAGCTTGCCTGGCAAGCACAAGGGTCTGAGTTCAAGCCTCAGTTTCATAAAAAAAAAAAAAAAGAAAGAAAGAAAAGAAAGAAAGAAAAGAAAAGAAAAGAAAAGAAAGAGTAAACAAATACAGTCACATACTTCTCTAGGGACGGGCATCAGGAATTGATATTCTAAATAGGTTTCAATCACCTTGAGAGAGCCCAAATGAATCACTAACCCAACCCCCAACAGGAAGGGACCCTGTCCTATATTCAAGCCTGTCCCATATTCATGCCGGCTTGCTATGCGACTCACTTCCCCATTTGGTCCTGGATTTAATCCATTTTACCTGAGCAATGGTGCTTGTAATCTCATTGGTTAACCATAGTTTTGTCCCACCTCCTGCCCACCTAAGCAAGTTCCCATGTCTTCTCCACCACCTTAGACCCGCCTTCTACATGGTTTTACTCTATAAAAGTCCCTGGAAGAGACAGCTTCTGGGAACAACCTGCTTGGAGCCCCCTTCTGTCCTTCTCTTGTACAGAAGTTTTCTTTCTCCCAATAAATATATTCTACTGTTAACCTCCATTTGCTCCTAAAATTCATTCTTTGCTTTTAGAGCACATGAACTTGTCCCAGGTAACTTTTAGGTCGGGAGTTTCATTTTTCTCCTGTACCAAGATGACCCCTGGGTCTCTTGCTCTAGCTGTGTTTTCATGGCCATTTTTTTCTGTATCTTGTGCACAATGCTATTTCTACATTGATTCATACCGGGCTTTCTAGAAACACTGATCCTTTGGAATATCTATCTATCTGTCTGTCTGTCTATCTATCTATCTATCTATCTATCTATCTATCTATCTATCTATCATCTACTATCTATCACCTATCTATCTCTCTCTATCTATCTATCTATCTATCTATCTATCTATCTATCTATCTATCTATCTATCTATCTATCTTTGCCCCCAGGGATGTCCTCTAATTTGTCTTCCTGGGAGTCATTTGTTCCTCTTACAAAATGTGGAATGGGCCATTCTAAATTCTGAGGCCTTCTGTGCCCCCGAGCCCTGCCTAAGCAGACCCGCTTCCAACTCACTTCCTGCCTCTGTAGTTCCCATGCTACCCTGGGAATGTTTATCTATCGGTGACCCCAAAGACTGTGAACTTCACTAGACCAATGTCCACATCACAGTTGCTTTGATATTCTCTGTACCCCCCACATACTTGCTGAATAAATATAAGAATGGATTGAAGGAAAGAAAAGGTACAGCCCATTCTCAAATGAAACACTCGTACAATTGTGAAGGGCCAACCAAATATCCACAATGGTAAGTTGGGTAGCACGTGCCTGGAATAAGTTGCTTTATGCAGGGACTGTGAGGAAATGGATTTAGTGACACACATGCTTTTCTTTGACCACTGATGAAAATGCAAAGTGGGACAGACTTTCAAGGTACAAACTGGTGATATTAATGAAATATATTGTGGCGGGGCATAGTGGCGCATGCCTATAATCCCAGCACTCAGGAGGCTGAGGCAGGAGGATCGTTGCAAGTTTGAGGCCAGCCTGGGCTACAGTGTGAGCTCAAGGCCAGCCTGAATGGCATAGTGAGACCCTGTCTCACAAAGACCAAATAATATATATGTTTTCCTCTTTGGCCTAAGGAGTCCACTTCTAAGTGCTTGTTTTAAATAGGGAGTCATGGATACATACAAAGGCTTTGCTGCAAGGCTTTTGTGATTTTTTTTTTTTTTGGTTATAATATAAAAATAATAGAAACATCTAAAGTGAGCAGAAATAGAGAAGAAATTCATGTTTTGGAGGTGCAAATGAAAAAAATGACACTGGAAAGTGAAATGGAGAGGTAAAAATGAAAATAATAAAAATCTTTAAAAACGTATTAACCTCATACTGTTTTGGGGAAAATGATCTGAGATAGAACACAGAAAGCTCTCAGTATGGTCTCATTCTCATTCTGGATGGGCAAGAGTGTGCGCTGTTAGTGCTGCTAGCCCGTCACCCTTATGAGTGATGGGAAGCATAAAGGCCCCCGGGAGCCCCTGAGCACCAACCTTGGGCTCCTGGAGTTCTGGAGTGGAGAACAACGCAGACTGGTTAAATGTGAGCACTGCAAGGCTATTGTTCATGACGCAAACAGTTTTCTTCACAACCTGTCCTGGCAGGACTGCTCCTAACTTCACAATTCTATTGGCTGGATCTAGGACTGAAATCTGTGGGATGAGAGATCAGGAGGAAGGCTTCATCAGTAAATGAGAAAAATAAATGTTAATGATATGTCTAACTTCCTGTTGGATGTGCATCTGTTCACTCAACATTCATGTAAATAAAATGCCCACTAAATTTATCACAAAACTACATAATTAAACTGGGTTTAGAGAGAGGGAGGTAAAGCTCAGGGCACCTCAGCAGCATACTGCAGGTGGTTGAACCTAGACTAGGGGCTCAGGGTGGCCTTCCTGAAGATGGCATACTTACCCTAAGAGCCAAAGAAGGGCAGGGTATAGTCAGTGCGGAGCATCATGGGCAGGGGCTGGGGAGCATTGCAGCGGGAAGAGATGGCCCATGTAAGATTCTGGCCTAGAGGGAGTGACTCAAGGCTTAGAGGAATTTGGAGAGGGGTCAGGTAGTTCAAGGTCTTGTGGGCCACAGGTGAATGGAAAGAGGGACAGTGGGCTTTGTTCTGGGAGAAATAAGAGTCAGGAAAACACGGAGTGACCTAATCTATAATTAATATATATATATGATTGTTTTTCCCAGAGTGCTCTGTGAAGATTATAAGATAGAGAGAAATCATGAGGTAGAGACGAGGGGGATTTGGTTGGAATGATGGCAGGAGAGGTGGAGAGAAGCAGGTATACTTCAAAAGCCTCACATAAGGCCCTGGTCAAAATGTTGAACTGGATGAGTGTTGGGGACTGGGATGTTTAAGGGTTAAGTTGTTTTGATCCCCGGGCCTGCCATGCCAGCCTGACCTTGGGGCACGCTGAGATGGCAGTTGAGTTTGGGCATGGTGGTGTGCCTATAATCCCAGCTCTTGGGAGGCTATAAACAGGTGGATCACTATGAGTTTGATCTAGTAGTGAGACCTTGAAAACCCTGAAGATCCTTCCCTAAAATACAAAAATACTACTACTAGTACTAGTACTACTACTAATACTATTACTACTAGTACTACTAGTACTAGGGTTAAGTTGATGACAAAAGTGCTCTCTGGCTGTATTGGAAAAGCTCATATTCACAGCCTCTGGAGGCAAGCTAAGGTTGCAGCTGAGGACATTGGGTTCTCACTCCAATTTCACAGCAATAAACTGCCAACCTTAGAGAGAAGACAGTTCTCTTAATTAGCAAGATTTGCTACTCGGAATGTCTTTGTTCTAACTCAAGGCCTTGCTCATCTTCACATCTTCTACCTCATCTGTTCCCTGCATTTCCCTATATGCCCCCCAAATTTGTTGAAAACCCATTAAATACTGGCAGTACAGAGAAGTCTTTGTCTTAACTCCAAGAGAGTTTTGACCTTCCTGGACCCCCTACAAACTATAATGCATCTTGTCTTTTATTTGATCCTTTCTGAATGCTCTTCTATAAGATTGGGAGCTTGGTCAACTCCTGATAGATGGGGCCAAGGCCAGGCCAAGCCTTACCTCTGGGATGGCACTGACTTATAATAAGCAGCACCTACTGACCACTGCCATTTGATCACCTCTGCCTCTAACCATCTTTGAGTGTCTCCCAGTCTGTGTGTTTCTATTTTGTCTAAAAAGTCAAGAGAGTCCCTCTGCTTGACCAGTGAGAGGCTGGAGGTCTGAGAACATGTTTCAGTTACCAGTACACAGCAGATGCTGAACAAGCAAATGAAAGAACAAGGAGGGAGCCAGTGGCATGGGGAAGACTCTGGCTTTGTCCTGTGTCCATCAAGTGTAGTATCCTTTTGTTCTTATAGCTTGAAGGGAAGGCTGCCAGGAATATAATATTTCTCCAATATCCCCCTGGTTGCTGAAATGCCTCATACATTCTCAAGAATCTGGAAAACTTTCAGTCTTTCCCAAGTTTCTATTATTATATAAATACTCCTGTCAGAAAAACACCCTATACACTGACTAGATACTGAGAAAGGAGAGAAGAGCAGCAGGGCAGGGCCATTCTTGCTCTGTCTGGAGACCCTGGGTAGAAAGAATCTTTGAATGTAATCAAAGATTACATTACCCTAGAATTGGCTGGAGAATGTTAACCAGTGAGGGTGTTAAGAAGCTTTAAAGCTGAAACCTATGTCTGCAATACTGCCTAAAAATGTCCCCTAGCCCTGAAAAGAAAACATGCACTGAAGGGAGAGGAGGAAGATGTGCATGGGATATACATCGGATAATCTCAAATTTCTCCAACACGGTCAAGTATATTCTGCAGTTTCTGTGATTACCCATATTCGGATACAGTGAAATTTGGAATTAAGAGCTGATTCACTTGAGTTTGGTTTGACAATTCCCCTCTTTGTGTAACTCAATATCGTCTCAGTGGGTTTGACTGACTTCTGATAGAGTAACCCCAAAGTTGAAGACATGGAGAGAGAAGACAGCAGTGTGGACTCAAGTTGACAAAGGAAGCTACAAAAGCAGGAATGAGGGCCAAGTCCAAGGGCCTCCCTCATAATCTCTTACCTTCATTTCAGTGCCTTTTCCTTTGATTTCAACTGTTTGTTGAGAGAGTCCATTGATTTCAAAGGGGATGCGTTCTTGATAGTTGATACTTTCTCGAGGATAAAAGGTGATTGGAATCTCCAGGGTGTTTCCTGGCTTTATCACATCGGCGCGGAAGTTCACCTCGAGGTGGCTTGTGTTGGTGTACAAACAATCTATGCTGGGAAAAATCAAGAGGAAGGTGCATAAAGTCTGAGAAGGCTGACCTAGAGGGACTGACAAGCCCCCTTGCCTCTCTTGCCTGGGTATGATGGGTTGCCTGCTCATCTGTCCTAAAGTTGGAGAAATCACTGAAGAGCTGGAAGGACTGCAGCACTGACTGGCTACACTCCCAGGCACATGGAGTTGTTTACCCTGAATTACATCCCGAGGCCCAGGCAGAACCAGGCTCAACTCAAAGGCTCATGCTTCTTTGCTGAATGTGCTTTTCACTCTGTTAAGCCTCTATTTCTTGATCCTGCATCCCATGGTTGGAAAGGAGTCTGTTCTAGAGTCATGAAAATAGGACTTTGGATCCAGGTTCTATCATTAACTAGGAATATGATCTGGAAAATTTCCTGAGCCCATCTGTGTCTCTGCTTTCTTACCTATCATACGGAGGTAGTGATATTTCATAGGGTTGTTGTTAAGATTAGGTATACTAGAATGGCTATTGCAGTCCTAAACAGGGCATGGAGGAAATATTCCACAAAGGTGAGCCATTTTATTATGACAAACTGCTCAACTAGAAGGAACCCTGAAAGATCATTTTATCCCACTCCACCTGTGGGCAGGAAGGCACACAAACCTCTCCAGTATGACTTCTGGTATTCAGAGTCTATATCTAGCTGGGCTGATGTATGAAACAATGTCTTCAACAAAGTAAGAGTAAGCTATATGACATTCATAATTTAATACTCTGATTAATAATAATCACATTAGGGTGGTAGCTAATAATAATAAAGCATCTTCTATGCTTTAGGCACTGCATACTACACTAATTTAATCTCCTAGTAGTCTTATACAGGAGAGATTCTATTATGAGCCCCCATTTTTGGCAAATATACAGAGACACAGAATTTTAAAAATATGCCCAGTAACTGGGCATGTAGCTAAGTGATGCAGCACTTACCTAGCAGGCACAAAGTCCTGGGTTCTATTCCCAGCAGTGAAAAAAATTGCCCAAGATCATGGAGCTAAGGAAGAGCTGAAATTTGAACTGACATCTGTGATAGGGTAGCTGCTAGACACATATGATTATTCAAATTAATATAAATTAAGAATTCAGCTCCTGAGGGCCGGCGAGATAGCTCAGTGGTCTAAAGTGCCTGCTTAGACTGGATGTGGTGGCGCACACCTGTAATCCCAGCTCTTGGGAGGCTGTAAACAGGCAGATCACTATGAGTCTGAACTAGTAGTGAGACCCTGAACACCCTGTAGACCCTTCCCTAAAAAAACAAAAAAAAAAAAAAAAAAATTACAAACTTCAAAAGTTGTTACATTCCAGATCCTTCTGCTAATGTCTCAACAGCTGTTCAAAATATTAGATATCAGATAAATGGTATGTAATATGAAAAAAAATAAATAAAGCACCTGCATAGGAAGCTTAGGCAGCTGCAGGGGACCACAGTTTGATACCCAGCACCACATGATGCACCAGCCCCACCCTCAAGGCAGGCTGAACTGGCAAAAAAAAAAAAAAAAAATTCAGTTCCTTAGTTATACTGGCCACATTTCAAGTGCTCCATAGCCACCTCTAGCTATCACCTGCCACATTGAGCAGTGCAGAAAAGCAACATTTGTCATTGCAGAAAGTGCTCTACATATTAGTACAGAGCTTTGAGTGGGGTTGTGCCCCATTCACAGCCCCAGGTCTGTGGGGCTATGAGATTCGGTCTCATTGCATCTGGGATGAAGCCCAGAAACCTTAACTGGAACTGGGTTTGACCAGAAGATGTAGGCTTGGTGCAGATCTGTTATTTTCTGCAGATAAATTAACAATTCTCTAAACCTCAGTTTCAACATCTATTACATGAGAAAAATAAATGGAAGCCACAGAACTTCCCATGAGGTCATTTGGTATTGCCCTGTGCAGTGAGTCACTCATGGCTATCCAAGTATTAGTACTACTGTTGAAGATCGGGACTCAGGATTCATGCCCAACTGTGTTTGATTCTTTCCCATAATCCGTCTTTTTTGATTTTGCCTGGATCACACCTGTATGGAGCCTATGACTATAAGGAGCTGCAGAATCATCTGGAAGCTGTGGGAAGCATCCTTACCTCACAGATGTGTCTTCCTTGTTGGTGATGACCAGACTTTGCTTGTATGGAGGCATTCCAGCTTGGTAGATGAAGCAGGTCCCAAAGTTGTAGCTGGTGAAGGAGAACTCAATGGCTGGACTCACAGCACAGCCTGTGATGCTGCACATAAATGTCGGGCCATAGCTGATCTGTGGGGAGGGCACGGCGGGGAAGGGTAATGAGGAAAAATGGGAGAGGAGGGTACTTATGTCCTCAGGTGAAAGAGGAGAGCAGTTGGTACTTTCAAAAAACACAAGTCCACAGAGTACACCTGGAATCTACATTCGCTCTTGCTTTGCTCCTGCAGCAATGACTCAGCTTGAAGGGTTAAGTGTATGGCAGAAACTGCCAGTTACCACCCCATGCCCACACTCCATGGCTTCATTACTAGCAGGACTCTGACTGGTTGCCAACGTGCTTAGATGAAATACTTGATTACCCATCCTCCCTTGTAGCTCAGGGGCCATTGGGCATAGTTCTGGTCACTGGGATACAAACGGAAGCGGATAGGAGAGTTTCCTCTTCGGGCTCTTCCTCCTTGCACTCTGGAATGCAGACCGACACATTAGGTAGGAAGATCACTGGTGATCTGGAGACAGTGTGATCTGCCAGCATCCTTGGGGACTCAGATAGAAGGCGATGCATGACTCACTTGTACATGAACTTAGTTTTCCCTTTACAATGCAAAATTTCATAAATTGATAATTCATCTAAAATAAAATATCCAATATTTATTCTGTATAGTCTCTATGCAAGCCACAAACATGAAAGTTTCCAGGCTGTTTCTTTCTTTCTTTTCCTGCATTGTGGTCTATCTCCCCAACTTCTCTGTGGCTTCTAAGTGTCCTGTCTGCTCCTTCTTAATTTCTGGAAATCTATTTCACTTTTTTCCCCTGTCAAATTGTTACTTCCCAGTGTCTGGATTCCAGATCTTGCAGAGGCTGAACTGTGCTACTGATCACTATTCTGCCACCTTCTGCTCTACTCCGAGGATGACTATTAATATCTAAATTTATAACAATCTAGTACGGATAAATAAAAAGGCAATTTCAAGAATATGGAAAAACTTTGCTCCAATGTAGCTCTTTTCCTTCCCTTTTGTTTGTGCTATTATCATGATACAAATACACCTTTATTTAGTGGCAGCAACAAATTATAGTTCCTGCTTATGCTGTTGTCTTTTATCTCAGAAAAAATTTACAAACAAAACATTAATTTATACAGCTTTATGTAACTAGTGGATTTACCTTTACTGATGCCCTTTATTTCTTCATGTGAAGTTAATTTGTGTTACTCTCTAATGTATTTGCATTTCAATCTGAAGGATTCCTTCTATCATTTTATTCATTCATTCCATCATTCATTATTTTTGTAGTATTATGGATCAAACTTAGTGCCTTTGCACTGTGCTACATGCCTATTCCTTTTTAAATTTTTTATTTTGAGACAAAGTTTTGTTAAGTACTAATTTGAAATCCTCCTTCCTCAGCCTCCTAGAATTCTGGGAGTATAGGTGTTGCACCACCATGTCTAGCCCCTTTATTATGTTTTATAGCCACGTGTTCTAGTGATAAGTTCTCCTTGCTTTAGAATGTTTTTGTTTCTCTACTTTTGCAGCATAGTTTTACTGGGTATGAAATTCTTATTGATAGGTTTTGTCTTTTTGTACTTTGAATAAATCATTCTACTATTTATAGGCCACCAAGGTATCTAATAAAAATCAGCTGTTAATCCTGCTGCTTTCAAGATTATCTGCCTTTGTCTTTCAATAGTTAGATTGTCATGTATCAAGGTATGGATCTTTTTGAATTGATCCTATTTGGAATGTATTGAGCCTTCTGGGTGCTTCATTTGATTTCCTGTCAAATCGAGGGTTTGGGCATTTGTCAAGACACTCATTCCATCATTTTCTCTCCTGCTGGGACTCCCATTATGTGTCTGTTGGCATGCTTGATGGAGTCCTGTTGGTTTCTGAGGCTTCATTCATTTTTCTTCTGTTCTTCAGATTGGATAATCTCATTGCATCTACATCACATTTGCTGTTTCTTTCTTTTGTTACATCAAATCTGCCCTTGAGTCCCTCTTGTGCTTTTTAAAATTTCTGCTAAGTACTTTCCTTTTTAAAAATATATTAGTACAGGGTCTACAGGGTCTCACTACACAGACTGGACTTGTAGTGATCCTCCTGTTTTCAGCCTCCCAAGCACTGGGATTACAGGCACACACCACCACGCCCAGTCTCAGTCACCCTCTCAGCATGTCCCAGGGGCTGGCACAGCAGGCCAGGGATCATACCCTGGCCACTGTACCTGTCTAAGCAGGCACTTTAGTCCACTCAGCTATCTGGCCAGCTCACTGCTAAGTACTTTTCAACTGCAGAATGTATGTCTTATAATTTCTTTCTGATTTTCTCTATTTGGTGAGACAGTGTTCTCATATTTTCCTGTAGTTATTGAGATATGATTTCCTATAGTCCTTTATTTATTTTAAAGAGAATAAAAAATAGTAAAAAACCCATTAGAAAAGATACAGAATTTCATTAAACACGATGAAAAGAGTTCAATAATGGTAGCTATATTGCATATTGTTGTCTTCAAATTAGTTGTTCAGATTACCCGATATAAGCATGCAAAATTGATCAAAAGTTATAAAAAAATTAAAAAGGAAAGAAAAAAATTAAGCATTAACTTTTCCTTTTAATAGACCAGCGGAAGTCAGCAGCACAATTATCCAAGCTATCCTGTGTACATACACATATATTTCTTTTTCCTTTCTTTAGCTTCTTCTTTCCCTCACCCTAGTTGTGTCTTTTCCTTTGAACAGTACCACCACTATGGAAATCAGTGTGGAAATTCCTTAATAAACTAGGATTGAAGTCCCATTCAACCCAGCTCTTCCCCTCCTAGATATATTCCCAGAAGAACTAAAAACATCATAGTATAGTGATAAATGTGAAACCGTGTGTATAGCAGCATGACTTGTCATAGCTAAATCCTGGAAACAACCCAAGTGCTCATCAACTGAGGCATGAATTAAAAAAGATGAGGTGTTTTTACACAATGGAGTATTACCCAGCTATAAAAAAAGATAAACTTGAGGCTTTTATAAATAAATAGATGCAACTTGAGACTATACTCATGAGTGAAATAATCAGACCCACATGCGTAAACACTGTACTCTTTCTAGTACAAGAACCTGGAAGAGTAAATAAAACTTTTGCTTATTTTTGACCCTGAAGTTTGAATGCAGAGTCTCAATCTAGCACTGTGGTGTACCCCATCTCAGTATATTTTAAGTAGCTGATTTTAGGTACAGTGGGCCCTTGATTTACAAACTCAATTTGTTCACAAGGGCTGACCATAAGCCAATACTTTTTCCCATAAGAAATAATGGAAACACTTATAATGTGTTCTGAATCTCCCAAAGCACCCCTTAACCTTTTCTTAATCTAAAACATAGTACAATGTATGTAATTTATCAAAAACACCAATAATTTTCATAGTGAATTCATCAAAAGGTTATAAAATGTTTCTAGTTTAGGAGAAGCAACAATTTCACCTGTACTCCCCATTCAAGTTGACATCTGTGGCTTGCAGGAAGGAAAGGTGAAGTGGAAGGTGGTTACTGTTTGGAAGGAGGGTCTCCTTCCATGAGAACACCAGAACCTGGCTCTCTGGCATCCCTTCTCTCCTTGGGAGGGTCTATAGCCCTCTAGGACCTGCTTCTGGCTCAGTGTTGTCTCAATGTTTTCAGAACTAAAAACTAGCCTAAGCTTGTCTGTTTCTGTCTTCTCTTTAACACTGTTCTTTTCTGTTGTGATTGCTTTCTTTACCTTCCCTTTCTCCCTCACTTCTTTCCTAGCTTTTTTGGGGCCATTTTGATGGCAGTGATTATAAAAATTATATAAAGCACTGATTGAAATCACATCTATAAATGTGTGCATCCAGGCTCAGACTGACCTTATGCATGCTTACTTATGGCACTGAATCTTTTTTTTTTTAAAAGTGCACAAGCAGCCAGCATTTAGGCTGTAGCTCAAGACTTTGGCCTTAAGTGAAACATAAAATTCTGGTCAGAATCCTAGCCGTCTGTATGTTAGGCTGGTCATAACTTGAGGGTCCACTGTACTTGCCTTATAATATCAACATCCGGGCTTTCTTTGGAAAACCTTCTCTTGATTGTTATTTTTCATGTATGAATCACCTTTTTATTTTTTGTGCCTTATATTTTTTGTTGGAAATTGGAGACATAAAATCATGTAACGAGATAATCCTCGAAATCAGATCTTGCAAAGCCCTACCCTGGGTTTGTTGCTATTGTTGCTTGTTGTTTAGTAACTTTTCCTGTAAAATCTACACAGTGGTCTCCCTTATCTGCAGATGACATATTCCAAGAGCACTGAGGTTTACCTGCAACCACAGATAGTACCTAATCTTATGGATGCTGCTTTTTATGTATCTATAATAAATTTCAATGAATAAATCAGGCAAAATAAGATATTAACAACAATAATTAAACAGAATGATTAGAACAACATTCTATAATAAAAGTTATGTGAAAGTGGTCTTTTTCTCAAAATATCTTTTTGTACCATAATCACTCTTCATCTTCTTGTGGTGATGTGAGATGGTGCTTATAGTACTTTATAGCTTTGCCTTTGAATAGCTGAATTGCCAGTGTCATTATTGTTATGGCTTTAGGTCATTATTAAGTAAAATAAGGGTTACTTGAATGGAAGCACTGCATTGTCTCAACATTTGATCCGATAACTGAGACAGCTATTAAGTGACTAATGGGTGACTAGTATACTCACTGTGGAGACACCAGACAAAGGGATGACTCATGTCAGGGGGAAGGATAAAGTGGGATGACAGGGGATCTCATTACAACATTCAGAACAGTACATAATTTGAAATTTATACATTATTTCTGGAGTTTTTCATTTAATATTTCCAAACTATGCTTGATCATGTAGCTTAGTCACTGTCTTATTACCAAGATAAGATATTCAGTACTTGCAACTTAAAACAATAGACGTTTACTCTGACACATGGGTCAGAATTTTCAGGGCATGTTGGTAGGCTTTCACACAGAAACAGCGTAGCACAGGGTCCTGCGCAGTGGAAAGTTGTTTATATCACGGTGGCCAGGAGGCACAGAGAAGGGAGGAGCTAAGGATGGACACACACTCTTCCAGGTCATGACCTTAGTAACCTGTGTCCTCTGACCAGGCCCCACTGCCCCAATGTGAGTCAGCTATAGCAACCCTGTAGTTCAGCTACCTTCCAGAATTTTTGCCTATGAGCACATACAGCCTTTGAAGACATTCTTGACCTAAATCATAATACGATGAGTAGCAGAAATCATGGAAATCAGAATTGCAAATAAGGGGAAACTACTGCATCCTTATTTATACATTTATACATGACCACTGCTCAGTTAGCTTAATGGTGAACTAATGGTTGAACAGATTTCCTTAAATTCCTGGAGCCAACAGTCTCTCAGTATTACCGAGGGGCTCTGGGTGTGTGGTAGGGCATAATAACCAGAATACAGCTGCCAACGGGGCCTTATTTTTCACTTTTTGCTTTCACAGAACCTACAGGCCTTGTTTATAGTATTATACCCCTAAGATACATGTGATACACAAGCAATGCGTGACTGTTAACACTCCAGGGAACATGTTAGAAATTGTCTTGTGGTCAGTGATTATCTAATTTTCCAGCCTTTTTCAGTGCATTTTTGGATTAGCTTCTTATTTACTTCAAGAGTCACTGCCACTTCAGGCAGCTGTCATACTAAGCAATTGCCATTGGCTGTTTTTGAAAAGTGCCCCCGGGAAGGGGCCCATCACACTGAGCAACCTCTAGGTCACATCAGGTCAAAGTAAGCCCTATTGCACGAGCTTGCTGTGAATAAAGGTTTTCACTAAACTCTGAACAGGGCAAACAATGACAACTATTTTACGATGGGGCTTGGCGGGGGTTCAAAACCTACTTTGCTCTCTGTAGCAACTGATAGGTTACTGGCTGCACTAGCATTGGAACTATTGATTGTCAAGGCTATTGCTGGGGAAATGGCTGGGAAAGGACAAGTTCAAATACCACAAAACTCCCTGTCCTTATGAGTATTCAGCTATAACAGCCCCTAGGATTGTTGTAAGTTTATGGTTAATTTCAGAGTACTGAGAAACTAGATATTGACAATATTTGCCAGCATTCTTACTGCTACCAAAGAACAGCTTTTCAGAGTTCCTTATGTGCCATTCCTGAAGATGTCTCCATCTTGCCTTTTTGTTCAAGAATGTATCTTGGAAATTGTTGTATATGTTCTCTACCACCCTCCCCCATTTATTGGAATATTTCAATATTACTTTAGTGCATGGCTAGCTAATTGCTTTTCAAATGGTACTTACTCACCAGGCATCTGTAATACAAAGGCCCATGGATGTGGCCTTTGTGGGAGAGATTATAGGGCTGTCTCCAACACAGCCACCCTGCAGGAGCTTCTAGACAAGTTTCAAAAACAAAGAACACACAGGAGTATGAACTCATCGAGGCAGCATGCTGCAAGCGCTTCCAGCTCTGGGCAATGTTAAATAGTCTCACCTTGATTCTGAGTTCCAGGCCTTTCAAGATGCATTTCTGAAATGGCTGGAAAGACAGAGTAGCTTGTTCACTCTGCCCTGCATCCACGGTGCTGTCCATGGGTGAAAATTCCAAGTATTGTAATAGGGCTTTGGGCCCAGAAAGTTTTGCCTGGAAGTTGAAGATGAACTTCCCAGTGTTCATAAAGCTAAATTCACACTGGACAGATTCATTTAACTCCACCTGGGAGATAGAACAGAGTGGTGAATGCAAAACAGTTCTCTTCTCTGGGGAAAAAATATCTTTTGGGAAATAAGCATGGCAGACAATGTTGAAGAACAGCATGTCATTAGCTTAATGTAGTCTGATATTCCAGCAAGAACTACTAAGTGTTGGGTAGCTTTTGAGTGTAAGATGGCAATTCAATTCTTCGTCCTCTATTGCCTGTTGGTAGACAGGCATCCTCCTTGTAGGTTTAGTATAAGATTTTAAACTCTCCCCATCATTTCCACCCCCTGGAACATAAAAGTAAGAAAGCAAACAGATCATAACTTATCTATATTTTGTGGATGGAACTGTTCCTGGCATCCTTCTATTCTGGTCTTTCTGGTTTTTGAGATAGACTCAGGTCATTCTCATTTATATTACCTTCCTGAGTCAAGCATGGACACTGAGAGATAGCAAGGCCCTCTTATCCACTTACCTCATGAAAGTCGATGATGTTGGTCTGGTTGGGTACCAAGAGAGTGACAGAGCCAGTTCTGTCCTTGCACTTGACCTCTGCATTCATGGAGTAGCCCTCAGCCTTAACGTGTAGCGTCAGAGGGTGGGCTTTCCTCTTCACATTGCAGATTAAATGAAAGTTCACATCTCCTTCCTGCTTTGGTGTGAAGAAAATATCAATTGGGAACCTGGTTGGGGAATAAGACAGCAGATTAGGTGACTGAGCTAACCAGGTAAAGCCTGTTAAAAATGTCAGCCCACTGGATTAGCAGGTAAACTATGAGCAAAAGTCATTCCAAACTATGGTAAGTTTTTTAAGATTTACATGACACTGTTCTATGACTTCACATATACAGTAGACAGCAAGGAAATGACCACAGACAGGAGAGAAAATATTAAGAACAAGGACTTAAAATTCTCAGTGCTCCATAATTCTTAAGAAAACGGACACCAGGAAGTAAGTACGACAGACATGGGATTTTTAGTATGTAAGTCTTAGATTCAGAAGAGATTTCATAAATGGGGTTCCCTGCCAGCTTCTCCTGCTTGGCAGGCCCGGCTCCCTCATGCCTGGAGGGTGCTCTCAGGTCCTCATTCATCTTTACCTGGCCTGGGGTGGAATCCAGCCTTCCATGGGGCACACGACTAGGTTGCTGCTGAAACCCTCAGAATATCGGGAGTTGTCCTGGAAGGCGAAATTGAAGCCCTCCTCCTCCTTGTTGATGATCTGCACAGTCTCCCTGGCTTCTCTGCCTGGAGAGAAAACAGCTGCTCTCAGAGGAAGCCTTGTACCTGCTCACCCAAGTCCTTCAGTGGATACGGCTCCATGAGAGGAAACCTTTTTAAGTTTATTTTTTATTTTTTTAATTTTTTGGTATAGGGCATGGCACACCTGGGGTTCTGGAGCTGGCATGGCATGCAGTACTGGGGATCGAACTCAGATCTTTACATTTACCAGGCAGGCACTTATGCTGCCGAGCTACCTCCCCAGCGGAGGAAGCCTTCTTAGAAGGGATTCCCACTTGTTTTCTCTCCTTGTCCCAACACCTCACTTCTCTTCTTTCCTTTTGCTCTTCCAGTGACCCCCCTCCATGTAGGGCCTTCCACTTCCTTCTAGAACTTCACCAATTCCCACCTCCTGCTGGGTGGCTGCTCTGTCCTGGTCACAGTTCTCCTGGGATTCTGGGGGGCACTATTTTTTTCCCTTGCTCTTTCAGATCTAGGAGTTGTAATACCTTCCTGAATGTGTTAATGGGGGCTTTATCTTCCCTGATTTATCCCTTAATTACCCACATCTCTGTAAATAGACCCTGCACTGAATTCTTTTGAATTAGACCCTGGCCATGCCATAGGTTTCCTGCCGAGACCCTTAACTAATACATCTCATCACTAATATAGTTTCCTGTGGCAATTGCAGAGCATGTATTTCCCCCACAAAAATATTAGGATCTTTTAATCCAATTCTTTTCTTTCTTCAGTTCTTTTGGGATTAGAGTGTTAGATTGAGCAGTTTTAAGTATTAGCATGTTTCAAATATGGCATGAGACATACTTATTCTAAAACATTACTTACTGTCATCTGAAGTTAAAATTTAACTGTGCATCCTATATTTTATCCAGCAACCCTACTGGGTTCTAATTGGAATGTGATTAACTTTGTGTTTAATATTGGGAGAGCTGGAAAATGTTCAGAGTACATTTGGAGGCAATTTTAATATGATTCAAAAATTTTCTTTATACAGAGAATTGTTTCTACATTTATCCTTAGATATTTAATTTATTTTAAAAAAGAGAATAAAAATAATAAAAAAATTAGAAGGGTTGGTCAAATCACTTAGTGGATAAAAGTGCCTGCAAGCAGGTGCAGGGGCCAGGGGTTTGATCCCTGGGCCTGCTGTACTGGCCCTGCCCCTGGGGCACGCTGAGACAGTGATGGAGACTGGGCATGGTGGTGCCCGCATAATCCCAGCACTTGGGAGGCTGTAAATAGGAGAATCATTATGAGTCTGATCTAATAGTGAGACCTGAACACGCTGTAGGCCCTTCCTTGAAATACAGAAAAAAGAAAATTAGAAGCAAAACAGGAGTTCACTACACAAGAGGATAAGAATTCAACATGGGCTGCTATATTTCAGGTTGTCTTCAAATTAGTTGTTCAGATTACCATCTGGCAAGCATGCAAAATTGGTCAAAAGAAAATTAAAAAGAAGAGAAAAAACTAAGCATTAACTGCTCCTTTCAATAGACCAGTAGAAATCAGCAGTACAATTATCCAGCTATCCTGTGTATATACATAGATATTTTTCCCCTCCCTTTTTTCTTTCTTGTCTCTTTTCATTTTGTTTTTTCCTGGAGTCTGCTTAGGTTGTGTGTATATAAGATCATCAGCAACAGCAAAATAAAATAATTTTATCTCCTTTCCCTTATGTTTATGTCAGTTAATCTTCTTGTTTTATCATACTTGCTAAGATCTCTTAACAAAGTGTCCAATAATCATGGTGATGAAAAGTATCTTGCCTAATTCCTCATTTTTAATTGAGGTAGTTTAGTGGTGTGTAGTAGAGTATTTACCTTGATTTTGGTTAATCTTCCTTAGTTTTTCATCAATTCCTGTTTTATTCTTAGAGGGTTATTTTGGGGGTGCTATCTGCTGAATTTTGGTGATGGCTTTCAGTATATTCGCATTCTCACATTGTTCTTTTTAAATCTTCTGATGCAATGACTATATTGGAATGGACACCCTTGCTTTCCTGGATTAAACCCTTTGTTTTGCTGTTGTTATTATGCTACACACCTCATTTATTAGTTCAAAACCTTAATAAATGCAGCGCTGGTCTCAAACTTGCGATCTTCCTGCCTTAGTCTCCACCCTGCTCAGCTGATTTTGTGCTTTATCTTAGTGCACTCCCAACACATGGAAGAATGCCTGGGCCAGATGTGGGGCTCAATAATATTTGATGAAACTATGAAAGGATGGCAGGGAAATCTGATCACTGTGGTACAGAATGAGAAGTAAACAACGAGAGCCCACGATCTGGGTTTGGGGTGTGCAAGAACAATGGGGTTGACCTGAGGCTCTGTAAATGAAGGCAGTCAATGCAGGCACCAAAGGAATCTTCCTGTAGGATCTTTAACAAGGCTTCTAAATTTCTTTAGGTTATTAATGTATGGCTTTAAAAGATATTTGATGGAAAGTAGATTGAGAAGTAAATATTTTATGGTTTCCTGAAAAGGGATGCAGGCTCTCTGACATGTTTCTGGAAGGGACCAGGCAAAGTTCTCCACCCAAGGCTGTTCCCAAAGCTTTTGCTGACCTTCCCCAGGTCAAGCTAACTCTAAATATAAACTAGCAGGGCAGCCTTACCAATGAGAGAACTGAAGTTGATGTGTGGCTTGTCCAGAGTGATGACAGGCTCAGTGGTTCTACCCACGAGCAGGAAAGGGACTGAAATGTTGTGTTCAGGGATTAAAAAAGTCCATAAGGCTTCTGTGATGTCCAGATGGGAAGGTACGAACTGGAACACAATCTACGGAGACAATCCAGAACAGGGTGGTGAGAGGCACTCCTGCTTGCTCATTCCCTGTGCCCCTGGAGACTGTTAGAATTAGGGTCCTAATCATTGATATCCTCTGGTTATTGCTGCCTTCCTACAGTCTTTGCAGGGGCATGCAGGAATGAGTGTGCTAACAATGTCAACATGTTTTTTTCTGCCCACCTGTTTTTAAAGGGAGTGTGCTTCACACCCAGCCTCTGCTGGTTAAGCTGTCATATTCTATGCTGTCTTTGGATGGCATGGTTGTACCATAGTAGATTGGAGTGAAGAGCTGGCACCCATCCAGTTGCTTGTCCAAGCTTGGCACACAGCTCAACCCAATATGATTGGCACAGTAACCAGATTTTTTTCTGAGAAGTTCAAAATTAAAGTCAAGTGACTAAGCTAGCTGGTAATGAAGCTGATGGTGAAAGATTGCATGAGGGTGAGCTGGATCCTAGTACACCATAACACATTTGCTAAACAAAGTTACAACGCAACAGAAACATAAATAGATGCAGGAAGACCTAGAAGGAGACCAATCTCAATAGCTGCCCTAGGCCCTTTTTTTCTTTTACACTAAGTTGAATCTCTTTGCTATTAATTAATTTGCATTGAATGTAAGAACAATTGAATTTGGCCAAAAAGCAAGCAGATGGGGTAACATGCACAGTCCATACCAATTTCATGGATGCAGGGAAGAATCTGGAGATGTGTCACTTCAACACTACTGTCATTCAAGGGTCAGCATGATCCTGGGTGATGGATTCTAAACTCACCTCTCCAGGAACTAGGCATCATCTTTGACACAATTCTGGGCTGTGGTGGGGCCATATCCAAATAGGACAATGCCTATGGTGGCCCCACCTTTTGGATCTGTCATACTGAATTAGATGGCCTAGGCACTGACAATATGCAGAAGTCAAAGCCAGGAGAGAGATTATAGGTATGTTTCATTTGATTTTGGAAGTATGAAAAATATTTAACTAGCTACCAACATGTAGAGTAGGAAGGTTCACATAGAATTGTGGAATTTTGACCTTTTCAGAAAAGTCTGGGAGAACATGTCAGCCAAGGCCCACTGGTTTGTATGGTGATCATTTCCAGAAAAGAGTGGGGCCACCAGGCCTTGGCACCCTGAATTTCCTGTCATTGTCCTCTTTGACTGCTCTGTTCATTTCGGTGACTTTCCTGAAGGCATCCAAATTCACAATTTTTGTGTCATGGAGTTATTTCTGCCTCTCACATTCTCTGGAGAACTTATTTGACATCAAGCCCACAGATTTAATTTGGCTACCAAGTTATATTGCATCTGAACTCCAGCCTTACATCCCCATGGAAGCACTGAGGACGACACCACAGGACCCGACTCCAATTTTCTGTTTTGCTCTTTATCCTGGCCAAGTAAAAACCTGTCATTGTCCTTTCACTTTTGTCAGCCCCTTGGACAAACATAACTCCTTGCGTCCTGTTACTGTATGAGTCCCAGAGGCTCCAGGCATTTTTGTTTGGTTCCCCTTGCTACTTGAATATTCTCAATTAAAAAAAAAACACTGCAAATACTAAAGCCCTCTTTTTCTCCATAGGCAGCCAAGACAGATTGGGTCTGTGTAGTTATCAAGAGTGACCAATGTTCATGGCAGCCACTCAATACACATGTGTTCACTGATACACCCTTAGGCAGCCCTGCCGAACACTACTTGCTTTCTGTGCACACTTGTGAAACAGAGATAGCTAGAATAACCCAAACATTGGTTTGAGGGGACTCCATGCACACATACTTCAGCTTTCTTTTCAGGGTGGATGGAGCCCTTCTCTGTAAGGCACGCAAAAGCTGGAGGGTTCTGGAGACTTTCACTTTCTTCAGAGATCCAGCAGAAGGAGTAGCTGCTATTGGTCGGGTTCAGGATTGTAAAAGTCCTGGACAAAGGGAAAGAGTTGACAATGGAGATGAGAAAGGGGACACTAGAGATGAGACAAGAGAACTTTCCTAGAACCTGACCCTAGCAAAGGCTCCCATTGAGAACCAGAGCTACTCCGAGTACTTTGTTACTGCAGAAACAAAAACTTCATCTCAATAGGGTGTCCAAAGTATGGCTAAGGTGATGTCTTATCAGTTGGCAGGCAGGAATGAAGCCTTTATACATGCCAAATTTTACTCACTATCAAAACTAAAGCTACAAAATTCAATTTCTTCATGTAGCAGTTCTTTACGGTCAACTCTCTAAAACTTGGGTCAACTTCCAGGACATCAAGTCTGCTTCTAGAGAATTAGTCTAGCTTGCTTCTCTGAATTCTTCCACAGAGTTCTAAAGAATTGACTAATATAAATCCAACTAATGCAAAATTAATGCAACTCACTGCAGATTCTTTCCTCCTATGCCCACGGTGTTGAATTCAATCACCCTGGTGTTTGGATCCAAAGGCCCTGTGCCAGATGCTTGGAGCTCTGAGTTGTGCTGTTGTCCACGGATGTAGTCTGAGTCTTTGAGGTCAAAATGGCAGATGGGCAAGAAGCTCTGCCCTTTTGCTACCAGGACAGGACCTTGTTCTCCAGGTGGTAGGTTGAGAATCCTAAGAGGATAAGGTTACTATTATTTATATTTTATTTTCTAACCAGTGTTACTTGGTTGGTTAGAAATGATTTTATGGCCATCAGAATGTGGACTCTATGGGTGCAAAGGGTTGGATTGTCTTGGTCAGCTTTATCATCTCAGTGTCTTTAGTACACAATACATAGTATCTATTAATTGCTAAAGGGATGAGTGGTGACTATGAAAGCATAAATTTGGGTTCCTTCTACATACCTAAGTATAGCAGTAAGTTACTTTCTTCATTAATGGTGAGATACCTATTTTCTTCGTGTAAAACAAGGTCAATCTTACTCTCTGGGCACTCTCATATGCATTTAGTGGAGTATACAAAGGGACCTGGAAATCTTCAAAAAGCATTCTGAGCTCCTTGAGAAGGTGAATAGATGTGAGCAGACTCTGAGCTCCAGGACTAAGCTGAGGTGGTGAGGGATCTATGTAGTGTAACTGCAAGGGCCTGGGAAGCTCTCAAAGTTCATATGTCTCTGCTAGCTTAGGCTATGGCTTACAAATTTCTCTGTAAGGTGGGTGTTACTTTTGGAGCTTTCCTGGAAGTAGATACCACACCAGGGAGTTTTCACTGTTGGATATGTTGAATTAGTTTTTCTCTCACTGCGTCTGGGTACCAGGTATTCCTCACTTACTACTAGGCCCACCAACTCTATACTCCTTCCCACAATTGAGTACTTATTTTGTGCCATATCCTGTTCTTAGCTCTCTGCTTAAGTTAGCTCATTTAACCTTCTAGAAAATTCTACAAAGTGGGTACTATTATTTGCATTTAACATGTGGGGGAAATTTAGTCTTGGGGAAGGTACAAGAGAGGTTGCTCACGTTCATGCATGTCTAAGAACGGGGCGATTCTTAACTGCTGAGCATTCTGCTGCTTAGTGGAGTCCTTTATGCAGCGAGAAAGGGGGCAGGGAGCAGGGAGAGGGGCAAGCATCTGGGGAGGGTTGATGAGCAGTACTGAGATATTTCTCTTTTTCTCCAAAGGCAGGTCTCTTCCAATCTCTTCAAAGGGAAAAGTGGCAGTATGGGGATATGGAGGATTCTAGGGCTGAAAAGAATGATGGCAGTGGCAGAACAGAAGAGGGGATGAAAGCGTCACCCTTGCAAAGATGGAAGTTTTGGAAAGCATGTTTCTTACTGGCAGGAAAGACTGCTCTCGAATTTGCCAACATCTAATGGGGAGAATTTCACTTTGATCTTCTCAGTCGTCCCCACGGGCACGATGCCTGAGGAAGGCTCCACAGAGAAAGGGGATACGGAAGCATCAGGCCCGCGGTCCACGGCGCTGTCCATGGTGCTGACGGTAATCTGACTAAGTTGCTCCTTTTGAGGGAAACCTGGAGAGAAAGAGACAGAGCAGCTGAAACCTGGAGAAGGGGAGACAGAGTAGTTGCAGTGAGCGGGAAGGAGGAAGGCAGCTCATTTATAATCGCCTCAGGAACCTCCTTGGGGTCCGCTATCTCTGTAGCAGGTACACTTCACCTTTCACGTTAGAGGTAAGGAATTCGCTACATCTCACGATGATGACTCATGAAAAATATTTCTATTAATTACATACTGTTTTTGTTTCCTTTTAGCTTCAGAAGGTCCCTCAAGAAGGTGTTTATGTAGATATTCTGCCCTTGAATAATGAGTTGTGAACACAGTCTCTTGAAGAATTACTGTTCTAAAGTAGGGATTTACAATCTAGGAGGCCATGGATAAGGGTCCATCAGAAAGGTCTGTGGAATTCCAGCAATGAAATCATAACAAATACTGGGGCTGGGGAGATGGCTCAGTGGAATAAGTGCTTTCTGGCAAGCACAAGGGCCTGAGTTCAGTCCCTGGTTCCGGAAAAAAAAGGCATAACAAATACTGTACTTGCTCCCTAAGGTTTGGGCCCTTTCCTAGTGTGCTATATGGATCAACTGCAAACTTGGGCATGGGTGTGCATTTTCTTGTGAAAATGGCTCATAGCTTTCAACAGTTTTTCTAAGGGACCTGCAATTTCCTAGAAAATTAAGAACTAAAATAAAAATATTTCTAGTGGTTAGTGAGATGAGAAATTGGCCTTGTAGGGGGTCAGGGCCCAGGAGTCAGGAGGGGAGAGATCAAACCTTCAGTTTCCCAGGTCCACTTAGCTCTGAACACATGAGGAGGCCTTTGCTATACTTTTTCTAGCTATACAGGAGGTCATCTGAGCAGCAGCATCTTTCCTACTAACGAGGCCATTTTACTAACAGGTGATTCAGGTCCAGCCCTGGGATTTACCTGGCATTTGCATTTACCTTGGTTTTCTTTCTTGGCAAAGCTGACTGCCTTTGTAACATCATCTATGCTCCAGTTGAATTCTAGCTGCACATGTCCAGAATTAACCAGGTCAAACCTATAGATTGATCAGGAACAGATTTCAGGAATGTGCTGCAGGTGATTTTTTACCCTGCCTACATATCACCTATAGTGTTTCTTAAAGTCAAATAACTTTATTTCTTAAATTTCTTATTGCTGATTAATATTTTAATTTGAATGTATACCTCTTTTCCTCTATCCATTAATTTGCCAGTAAATATGATTTCATATATTGGCTATTATAAATTCTACATAAAAAACTAAGGAACACAAGAGTCTCTTTGATATGCTGATTTAATTTCTTTTGTATATGTGCCCAGAGGTGGGATAGCTGGATCACATGTAGAACTGTTTTTATTTTTTTGAGGAACCTCCATGCTATTTTCTATAGTTCTTTCATTACCACAGGAGAGAGAGAATTGGAGCACATAAATGATATAAGCCAGAAATACAAATACCAAGTGCTCTCTTTCATATGTGGAAGCTAAAAAAGTCAATTTCAAAGAGGGGAGAGTAGAATAGTGATTACTGCAGGCAAGAAATGGTGGTGGTGGAAGGCAGATAGAAAGAGGTCGGAAAACAGCTACCAAAATACACAGACAGGATGAGTAAGTTTTAGTGCTCTAGAGCCCGGTAGGCTAACTATAGTTTGCAACAGTCTTCTATACTCTTTATGAAGAACTAGAAGAAAGGAGTTTGAAGGTGCCATGCACAAAGAGTGATAAAAAGATGGAAATGCTGATTATCTTGAGCCAATATCAACACATTGTAGACATATATTAAATATCAGACTGAGTCCCTTAAATATGTACTGTTTTATGATGATCATTATTATGGTTGATTCACTGCATCAACTGGAGAAGTTTGGAAGCTTAACTAAGTAACTCAGCAAGGGGCCAGAGTCCTCACTTTGTAAACACCCTAATCCTGTGCAAGCAGAGGGCAGGGAGATGGTGTGAGTGCTACACCGACCCTGGGGCAGGTAGTCTGAATGCATACAACATAAAGTAGGGAAAGAGGTTAGCTTCCCCCTTTTGCCCTTGTTGCTTTTGCTGTCTCCTGCTGCCATGAGCTCTCACACTTCTGCCATGTCACCCTTCTTTAGAGCCATGATTACCATGACTGAAACCACTACAAATTATGAGCTAACTGAACCTTTCCTTCCTTAATTTTGGGTGTTTCATCCCAGTAATGAGAGAAAAGTAAACAAAACAATCATTATAACAGTGATAGTACTGTTAACTAAAAAGATAAAACTTAAAGATATTTTTAACAGGCAAATTTTAAGCGAATTTATCTGAAAGCATGAATTTGATATATCAGTTATATCCTTTTCTAAAACATATAAAATATACACATAGCTATTAAAAATAAAAACATGGAGACCCAGTCCTAGCCCAGGTCCGGAATTTCTGCCGACTACCGGGAGCCCCCAGACCCAGTCCTAGCCCTGGTCCGCAGCAGGAAGGAGCTGAGCACAGCAGCCAGACCCAAGCCAG